GATAGGCAGGCTGGAAGGCAGAGAGAATAAATAGAAGGAGAAAAGGAGAAGGGGGAGGAGTGAAAAAAGAAGGAGAAGAAGACATCAGGGTCCAGCCACCCAGCCACACAACCAGCAACCAAGGAAGAAGGAAAGAAAAGATACACAGGAATAGAGAAAGATAAAAGACCGGAGGCAAAAGGTAGGTGGGATAGTTTAAGTAAAGAAAAGCTGGCTAGAAATAAGTCAAATTAAGGCCTGGTATTCATAAGTTAGAATAAGACTCCATGTATTTATTTGAAGGGTGGTGGGCCCTTCAAAGAGTAAAAAAACTAAGAAAATCCAACTACACACACACACACACACACACACACACACACACACACACACACACACACACACACACACACCACTTAACCTAAAACCCTGGTTACTTTGTACCTGAAGTGTTCAGATAGGTTTCCCTACCACTTATTACCACTTATTACAATTTGAAGTCTCACAAACATGCTAACTACTCTTTGGAATATGTACTTTTTTTCCTTGAGTATCTCATTGTTGTACCCCAGGTTGACCTTGAACTCAAAGAGATCCATCCACCTGCCTATGACTCCTGAGTGCTGGGATTAAAGGCAACGCCATTACACCTAGCCGTGGAATATGTTATATTTTTAATGTTTCTTCTAAATTTCTATGGTTTTAGAATTAAACATTTCTTCGAATTACAAACTAGTCATGGATAAAAAGTGCAGAGGCTACCAGTACCACAAATTCAAGCAGGGGGCTGGAGAGATGGCTCAGCGATTAAGAGCACTGGCTGTTCTTCCAGAGGTCCTGAGTTCAATTCCCAGCAACCACATGGTGACTCACAGCCATCCATAATGAAATCTGGTGCCCTCTTCTGGCCTGCAGGTGTATATGCAGACAGAACACTGTATACATAATAAATAAATAAATCTAAAAAAAAAAAACAAATTCAAGCAGACAGGGGATTTCATAAAGTGTTTGTTTTTAGTCTCCTGTTTTTTATGATCAGTTGAAAATGGATATTAAATCACAAATGGCCAACAAATCATGTTTCACGAGCAATTATTTCTGCACATATTTGTTCTGAATTGATTCTCAATTCTTAGAATCTTTGGACTGCACAGCTTCAGTTTTCCAGAAAGACTATTAAGAGCCGATGGCAGTACATCTTTAAGTTTTCCATCTATTTATTTCTTTTATATGCATCACTGTGGATGGAACCCACAGCCTTGCACATGCTAGGTAAGTGCTCTAGCACTGAGCTGTACTCCTAGCCCCAGTTTAAATATTGTAAAAGTGATTGATGTTATTTAATTAAATCGATTTACTACCTTCATTATTTAAATAACCTACATTTTTTTGTGTGAGAGACAGGGTCTCAGCCCAGGCTATCCTCAAACCTGCTATGTAGCTGACACTGGTCTTGAACTCTGGATGCACCTCTCAAGTGCTGTGCCCAGTTATTCCTGTATTATCTAGGTCGGTCCTAAAACCATACATAAAACATTTCTATTCTTTTCTTTTTTTAGTACACTATACATGGAGTTTGGTGCATGGGTCCTTCACTCAACACAGGACAGTAAGCATTAACTATTGACAGGAAACATGACTTTGGGGGGAGGTAAACCTCATAGCGTTTCCTTTTTAAAAAACATTTTTATTTACTTTTATTGTAGGAATGTTTTTCTTGCATGTCTCCTACTTGTGTGCCTTGTCCTCATGGAGGTTAGAAGAGGGCATCAGATCTCCCGGAACTGGAGTTAGAGGAGGCTATGAGCTACAATCTGGGTACTGGGAATTGAACCCAGATCCGCAAGAGCAGCCAATACTCTTAACCACTGAGCCATCTCCCTAGTCCCCTCAACCTTGTAGTTGAGCAAATACAAAGACTAACATGTGTCTTGGAAAAAGGAAACAAGAAGTCCACAAAAAACAAATGAAAAAAACAGCAAGTGGAGCAAATACTCTTAAAATGCTGTATAGCTATCTCATCTTTTTTTTTTTTTTTTTTTTTTTTTTTTTTTTAAAGATTTATTTATTATGTATACAGTGAGTGTTCAGCCTGCAGGCCAGAAGAGGGCACCAGATCTCATTATAGATGGTTGTGAGCCACCATGTGGTTGCTGGGAATTGAACTCAGGACCTCTGGAAGAGCAGCCAGTGCTCTTAACCACTGAGCCATCTCTCCAGCCCCAGCTATCTCATCTTTGATCCATTCATTCTACTGTTGTGTTTATTAGACAACATATGTGTGGTCACATGTGTGTATACAGCTGACAGGACTTACTGGTATAAATTTTGACTTGTATAATATATAAGTAATATCCTTGCCTCTTCATTGCTTCTATTATAGCTTTCTCAGGTCTCATATCACAAACTTCATCAAATGTCATTAGATGTAGAAATTAAAGATAGCATTAGATGTGCATATAAACTATGAGTGAGGTCTTTTAAGAGCCTTTGGGAGCTATTGGGGATATGGGGATATGGAGGGACAGAAAGTGTGTCACAAGGTACAAGGTAATAGAAGGGATACATGTTATCAAAGTATATTAAACATCTGTACGCAAATGTCATAACTGTCAGGTATGATGGCTCATGCCTAATTCCAGCACTTGATTGGCAGGAGAATGGCCACCAATTTGAGGACAATCTGGACTGTATCATGATTTCCAGACTAGTCTGAATTTGAGTCTCAAGCTCTGGGGCTCTCCCCACAAAAGAGGAAAATACCATAGTAAAGCTCACTACTCTGTACAGTTAATACATGCCAGTAAAAGGTGAGGTCTTTAAATCTTGCATAGAAATACGATTATTTTTTAGAGAAAGACATGGTTATTTTCCAATTATATTTTTGAATGGTACTGGGTTTTTCCTTTTCTGCAATTATTTCAAACATTACATGTTTCCTAATTTCAACATTCTAAATCTAAACACAAGAGTAAGTTAAAACGTTAAGGCTGCAACTGAAGAGATGACTTAGTGGTTAAGAGCATTTGCTGCTCTTCCAAAGGACCTGAGTTCTGCTCCCAACACCCACATCAACAGCTGCAACTCCAGTTCCAGGGGATTTGATGCCCTCTTCTGGCTTCTGCCGGCACCATTCACATATGTGGTGTACAGACACTCATGCAGACAAAATAGACATTTGCAGAAAAGAAAGAAAGAAAGAAAGCATTTTTAAAGAAACTTTAAGGCAAATAAACAACTGGCAGTTACCCAATTAGTTCTTTGGTTTGAAGGTTTCCAAATACTTCCTTTGTGCCTACATGCTCAACTTGACTTAAACATGTATGTAATAAGGAGAGAAAGAAACATTGTTTTTCTTGTGCTCCCTAACCAGAAATAGCTCCATTCTAAAGTTCAAAAATGACAACAAGAGAGAACTAAAGTTCCAACAATTTGTTTCTTCATTCCTAAGAAGGCATATGTTTCTCCCGTATAAGGGCCTAGAGAATGGCTTTCAATTGTTCCAAAGGTTTAAGAAGGCTATATTGTGCTGGGCTGGGCGTAGTGGCACACGCCTTTAGTCCCAGCACTCAGAGGCAGAGGTAGGCAGAGCTCTGTGAGTTTAAGCCTGGTCTAGAAAGTGTGCATATGGAACCTGGAAAATGCCCTTTCCCTACATCACTTCTACTCTCACAAAAGGAATCCACCAATCCTTTTTGCACACCTCTGTACTTTTCTATGACTTTGCTATGGAGTGTAACTTCATGACCACGTTCAAAAGGCAGTCTTGGGACAAAGGGATGTCTGTGAGAAAGGTTAACTGATGTAACCACTGAACAGCATTGCTTTTCTGATTAGTGTTTGTACAGTTCTATAAATCTCCACATAAACTAAGTCACATCAATGACTTCGCTTTCATTTTCTCGCTCCCTTAAAGTATGAGGGGCAGCATGGGAGTTGAACTGTAGTTTACTTCAGCACAGGTGAATTTAAGGTTCTCTGTTAAGGGGGCTGGGGAGACGGCTCAGTGGTTAAGGGCACTGGCTGCTCTTCCAGAGGACCCGGGTTCAATTTCCAGCACCCACATGGCAGTTCACAACTGTCTGTAACTCCAGATCCAGGGGACCTGACACCCGTGGCAAAACACCAATGCACAAAAAATTAAAAGAAGATTCTCTGTTAAGGAAAAGATAGGGGTACATTCTGCCTTTCCTGCAATGTTTCTTTCCTTTGACCTTTTACTTTGAAATAGCTTTTTTTCAGTTATTTTATTTATGTATTTATTTTTTTCTGGAGCTGAGGACCAAACCCAGGGCCTTGCGTTTGCTAGGCAAGCGCTCTACCACTGAGCTAAATCCCCACCCCCTGAAATAGCTTTTGAACTGACACGAAGACAATGACTGAAGAGTAGTCTCCATCAGCTATAGCTGCTCTCTCCTGGTATTGGTCATGTTTGAATTCCTGGGACCCAGGAAGGTACTATTGCTTTAGGCTTCCATTCACCCTTTGGCTAGATGTAGTGTTTTAATGTAAACTAAGATGTATGTGAACACAAAGTTGTTTGGTTTGGTTTGGTTTGGTTTTTGCTTTTTCAAGGCAGGGTTTCTCTGTGTAGCCCTGGCTGTCCTGGAACTCACTTTGTAGACCAGGCTGGCTTCGAACTCACAGATCCGCCTGTCTCTGCCTCCCAAGTGCTAGGATTAAAGGTATGTGCCACCACCACCACTACCACCACCACCACCACCACCAGGCAAATATGAAGTTCTCCCACTTGAAGATTTCTATGACTTCAGGCCACCTTATCTGTGGTCCACAAGTCTAACTTCGGAAACAATGCACCATCTTCACACATGCAGCCTCCTTAGTCTAGCATGTTGGGAAGCTATTACTTCAATGCACACAGCTTAACCTAGCTGGCACAGCTTTCTCCCTACCACTTGCTTATCTGCAGTGGGCTGATGAGTTACTTTATTACTTTCATATATTACTCAAGACCATGGAAACATGCTGTTTCATCAAATATCTCCATTCATTCTGTGGCTTACCTTAATCAAGAGCATCCTCAATGACAGCCAGGCCCATCATCAATTTCCCCAGTAACTTCTTTGCCTTTGTAGACATGGATGAAGGCTCAGTAGTAGAGGTGAAATACCCTGAGCAAACAGTGTTCAAGTGGTGAGTAAACATTACAGCAGTATACCAGAATAAAATTGCTTCCTCTTTTGTAATCAGTCATTACCAACACTATCATTGGTACAGAGATGATTGGTGGGTACAGTATCATTGACTCATGTACAGTGAATCCTATGAAATACTCGATATTTCTTACTATGCTGTGACCAAATGACCCAGGGTTCCTGGTGTGCTTAAATTTCCCATCAGAGGACAACTTGGCAGGCCTATGACAAATCCTCATTAGAAAAATGCTAAGAAGCACGCAGTTGAATAATACCTGCTAACATGAATCAACTGTTAGGTCCCAATATCATGAGTTTCATTTTTTTAAAGGAATATAAAACTATTTATTGACCACTGTTCACCATTATTTACCATAAAGTAAATATACAGTTGGATGACATTCTGATACTACAAAGTTACTTTTCTGGCTCATTGAACCAGAACCCAAATACTGAAAAGACTGATCCTACCAGTTTCATTTTTATTATTTGAATGACAACAGGCTTAAATAAAGGAAGTCTCACCCCTTATGAAAACTGAGGTACCAGCATGTCCGTCTAGATTCCCTCAACTTGTGGGTCATGACTACCTTAAGGGTCGAACAACCCTTTCGACAGGGCTCGCCTAAGACCATCAGAAAACAGATATTTACATTATGATTCATAACAGCAGCAAAATTACACTCACAAAGTAGCAAGGAAATAATTTTATGGTTGGGGGGTCACCCGATCTAGAGGATGCCTTCCACTAGGCCCTGGGGAAAGCTGCAATAGGCCCTGTAGCTGTTACATCTTGAGCCTACAAAAGACTTTTTTGTTTCAATACAATATTTTTATTACTTCTTTGAGTTTCATACAATGTCTTTTCATCACATTCATACCTCTTTCCTCCCCTTAACCCTTCTAGATTCAGCCCTTACCTCCTTCTCCTTCCCAAATTCCTGTCTTTTTTATTAGTTAATTTTTTTCCAGCCTGATCACAATCAGTTTCTCCTCCCCCCATCCATTCCTCCTTTTGCTTCAGAAAAGGGCAAGCCTCCCACATATATCAGCCACAGGAAAAAAAGACTTTTGAACCTTCTGATTGTATAAATCTGTGTCCCTGTTGATGGAATTACCTGATGGGGGACAATGGCACACACTTCTTTAGGCTCTCCTTGCTCTTGACAATGGAGTATCAATTCTGAGTGTCTTGAGACTCGGGAAAGCACACCAGCTCCCTCAGCTCCAGCTCACTACCTTATTTGTCTCCTAGCCAGGAGACAAATGCCCAAAGCCTCCCACAAAGAACTGGGTGCTTTGTTTCTGCCCGGATTTCACTAGACATGAGCCACATGACTTCCTGTAAGTGACCTAACTGGTAGTTGTCCTCAGTTCTGCAACCACATTGTCAGCCCCCCATTAGTTAATTCCCATGGATCCCATCAAACTCTGAATTTGAAATTGAAGGTCTGCTCAGGGCCTAGGCCCACTTAACTTCACCGAAGAGCCAACCTTTCTTAACTGCTAGACTTACTGGAGATCTCACTCACAGCACAGGATTTTGCAAACAACTTCCTCTGGGTAGTAATATTGTTCTGGAAAACCTGATTAGCCCTGCAGATACTATTCCCATTCATTGGCGGAAACAAACAAACAAAAACCTGTTTGAGGAAGGATCCAGGAAAGAAAGCTGCCTCTCCATTGCTCTGATGGGGACATCACACAGGCCTGCAGCACCCACTCTCACTAGCTATGCTTTGTTTTCAAAAATCCCACTTCCACTCTACCAAGGGTTAACAGATCTGCCCCTTCATTCAGCCAAGGTCCCCTACTCTCAGCCAAGTCACTTGCTTCAGTGAGTAATCCCTCAGTGATCTGAGGCTAAGAGAAAGAGGACTCTGGAATTTAGCTCCCAGAGAAATGCAAATTTAGGCACCATGTCAGGTGACTCAGGTCTCAGGGTCAGATTCCCAAGGAATCCTCCATTTTCTCACCAAGGTCTTTGGCCTTTATGTTCAGTAGGAGGCAACGTGGCTGGAACTCTAAATGGAGGGTCGAGGGAACTCCACAGCCCAATTCCTTATTATTATGTCTCTCCTGGAGTGACTTTATAAATTCCAGCCAAAAGGGACATGAGTTTGTCTCATAGGTTCACTGGATGTTTGTTGGAGCACAACTACATCTCCTTCACACATGAACCATTAATGTTTCCTATGACTTTATGATGTACTCATTAAGGCTTAGGATCAGTCTTACAGTGTTTTCTCCTAAGATACAGTGCACACAAAGAATTTAGAAAGTTGCCCTATCTTGATCAGGAAGGAAAGCAATGGCATATGCTCTTGAATTAAACACTCATAATTCTCGGCAAATTTACTCCCATTTTTTTTTTCAGTACACATATATAATTATGTATCATGGTCAGTAAACTGCAACAAATTTATAACAAAATTGGATTTACACACACATTTTAAATTTCAAACCTGTATTTCTGATTTCTGGGTAGATTAAAATATCCTGAAATATTTGAAAGGCCTGGTTTTTAGATAAATAAAAGATTTCCCAAGTGTTTCTTCATTGACCTTGTTCATTAAAGAATATTAGTTTCTCCCTTAATATTAAAAAATCTATATAGCACATAAAATAACTATAATATTACCATTCAAAGAATTTATTAGTGAGGCCTTACCTAACCTGCCATGTGATAATGAAACAGGTACTACATATTAAAGCTGAATGAAGAAACATAGAAACTCTATCCAAATTTTCATCTCAAAAATGTCTTTGAATACTGTAAAATAAACAAAACTTAACAACTAAAGGTTAACATTGGCATTTCTCTTGAAAATAGGCAACACAGTAGATTTCAAGCATTCTCACCACACATAGGAAAAAGTAACTTGTGGTATTCAACTTGATTGTGCTTATCGTGTGTGTGTTATATACCTGAATACACTAATTTTCATGTGTTAATCCTATTTCAATAAAGGCAGAAAAAACTATCAGTTTAGAAATTAGTCACCATATAGAATTCAGCAGTTGTTTTGATCTTAAAGGCAGGTTTCTTTTTAAAAACAAAAAGAATAGGTACTTCCGAAATTCAGTCACACATGTATATATTCTAAGAAAACTGGCCGGCAGATGCATTCACACCCTTGTACGTTACATCTTTTTATAGAAGTATAAATACAATATAAATATGAATACACAACAGTGGCTGAGATGTTCAAGTTGAATAGCACAGTCATTCCGGTTTAACACGGACCAGGTCTGAAAGGATAAACCTTTAAACAATTTCTATAAGGAAATGGTTGTAAATAACCATGTACATAAACATAACCAGATGCATGCTGGGTATGGCTTTCCACAAAGTGTTCAGCGCTAACACATACCATTTGCTCTCCTGCAAATCACAATAGGCTTCTAGGTGCTTGAAATTATTATTACAATCTGTATTTTACCCCAGAAGCCCTTTCTATTTCAAGAAATGGTAGAAGTTCACCAGCTGCTGGCAAAGTATTCAGATTTTGAGAAATTACAAAGTAAAAACAAACGGTACCTTAATCACAAAACCAACTAAAACGGACTTGCCACACATTCTCATAGATTCACTTTGCATGTGGAACATACGCTTTTTTTTTAAATGGGTAAATTCCCTAGTACTTTGGGCATTAAATCATTAAATTTCCTCATTTGTAGCTTTACAGCTTTTAAAATATTAGTAATCTCTAGAATATTGCTGCTTTAAAAAATTCTCCCCGCTTTTGTATTTTCTAGAAACAACCATGTCTCCGACTTACAACATACCCAAGAGCCATGTTAGAAAAAGCGATGCAAGGTTACACGACCTCTAGCCGATGACCTTTTGGCTGCTTCATCTCCGGTCCTCTGGTGTCGTCTGTGGTCTCTATTTGGCGTGGTCGGCTTCATAGAAGTCCTGACTCTCTTGGCTTGTCCGGTTCTTTTACTCCTCTCCAAGTCTATAAAACAAAATGGATGCACCTGAGACGTTGAGCAAGCACATAAAGTTCTGTTCCCAGCCACCTGGTATTGTCCTGTCCTCTGCAGTCAGGCTCTGCTACTAAAAAGACCCTACACCTCGGAGGTCCCACGTGTTGATCTTCTTGGTGCCCCAAGGGGGAAGGGAGGAAAGACGGATGGACAGCTAGAAGCCCGGGCCTGTCTGCAGGAGGCCTCCCTAGTCCCGCCTACTCTCCGCAGAGCCTCCCAGTGCTTCCCAGCACCTCCCCTGCCCGCACTTCCCCCATAGGCCAGCTCCCCACACGTGGATCCCAGAGGGCGGTCTTGCCTTGGGAACAGAAGTTGAGATCCCTCCTCTGGGGATTGGCCGCTCAAAGTCTGATGAGGAAAGCTTTGGGGAATTTTCCAGAAATGACCTCACGGTGGCGGTGTGGCGCCCAGAACGCTATCAAATAGAGCGGGTCTCCTCCACATGCTTCTCTCCCTCCCATCCGGTGTTAGAGGGAAGAACGTGACCAAGAGACAAAGACACCAGAAACTATGGCTGCCTTGTCCTTGAACAGTTTTAGAAAATCTGCTTGCATTATGGTTTTCCTTTTGGTTTTCACCCAAAATCAGAGGCCTAGTTCAAGAATTCAATTTCCACCTACCCAGTCTTTGCAATTCGCCCCCACACCCTACCCCACGCACGCCCACCTCCATCCCCACCGCCCTACCCCCAGCTTCACTCAGCACTTTCTCACGGAACCAAATTGTCTTGGAGTATCCGGGATGGACTCCAGGGACCCGAGGCTAGTGGGAAATGAAAATGGTTCCAGCTAAGGGGTTGGAGACCAGCCACTCCAGGCATCACTACCAGCGCCTTGTCACTGGTCCTCTTCCCACACTCCCTGGGGAATCTGCACATACTCTGACCAGAATACCAAACCTGTATGTTGGGGAACACTCCACAACTCCAAATTATGTGTCTAGTAGACTACAAGCATATATAATACAGTATGCTCTGTATTAAGGAGAAGGGGGTTTTGATAATTATTTTAATCAATTTTATTTATTAAAATTAGAAGAAAAAGGAAGTCCACTTGCAGAGTGTCATTTAGAGTGATACACACACTCAAATATGGATAAATACTGGATGTGAGAAACTTAGCCTTGTGTTTTCATTACCAGAGGCATTTCTTTCTCATGGCTGTATACCACTGCCAATGACTTCACTGTGTAAGTACACGTCACTGAAGGAATAGTCTTAGAGTATGTTCTTTGAAGTAAGAAGGCATTGCATCTGCTAAGAATTCAGAAAATAACCACGTGCTGCTGAAGAAGTGTAAGACAGTTCATGTGGGAAACCACTGATAAACATTTCCATGATGTTTCAACACAGACATACAAACTCAGTTTCAGTGTATTGGGTATTTACTTCAATACAACACAAACATTTACACTAAGCTTCCTGTAAGTTTATGTTTAAATGGGATCTATTTTCATGTTTTGTATTTTTACCTGTTTCCAGGGCAGTTGATCATTATCCTGGAATTGTTTTCCAACATAATATTTTTATTGATTATTTGGGAATTTCATCCAATGCACCCTGATCACACTCGTTTTCCATTCCTCCCACGTCCACCATGCAACCTTTGTGATTCCCCCCACCACCACCAAAAAAAAAAAAAGAAAAAAAAAGAAATGAAGTCCAATTTGAGTTGCCTATATACTCACTGGAGCATGGTCAAACTCCCAGTGGCCAGCTCCTTAAAGAAAATTGAGTCCTTCCCCATCATAAAATGAAACCATGTCAAAAGCTGCTTTTGTTGTTGCTATTATTTAAGACAGGTATCATGCTGTAGCCTAGGTTGGCCTGGAACTCGTTATATAGCTCAGGCTGGCCTCAAACTCAGCATTCTACCTGCCTCAGCTTCCTGAGTGCTGGGGTTATAAATGGGTAACACCATACCTGGAATACACAGCTTTCCTTTTATGAAAATATTTATCTTATTTTTACTTACATGTCCATATGAATGTGTGTCTGTGTCTGGGTATGTGCACATAAGTGTAGGTGTGGGATGAGGCCAGAGACATCGAATCCCTTGCAGCTGGAGTTGTAAGCACTTGTTAGCTGAAGATGTGGGTGCTGGAAACTGATCTCAGATCTTCTACAAGAGCAGTAAGCACTATTAACCACTGAACCATCTCTCCAGCCTCCCACCCTGAACAACATATTGATTGGCATATTGACTGAAAGGATTAGGGTCCCTGGGAACAGATACTCAGTTTATAAAAAAAAACCAAAAACTTCATTTAAATTGAGGCCATAAAGATGGCTCAGCAGTTAAGAGCTCTTGTTGCTTTTACAGGAGACCCAGGATCAATTTCCAGCACCCACATGGTGGTTCCCAAACATCTGTAACACTAATTCCAGAGGATCAGACGCCCTCTGTTGCCCAGAAATGAATGTGGTACACATACATACATATTCATGTGCATAAAAAACTATATATATATATATATATATATATATAATTGGAAGTAGTGGCACACACCTTCAGTCTCAGCTCTGGGGAGGCAGAGGCATGTGGTGAGTTCGAGGTCAGCAGGAGCTACATAATAACAGCCTGTCTCACCAAAACAAAACCATAAATAACAACTACAAATGTAATTCTATGGATTCCACTCATAAATGATTTGAAGAGTTGGGTTTTCTAATCTTTATCATGCTAACATGGACATTTTGTGTTACTTGAAAACAAATACCAAATTATAACTGTACATATATGCCTCACAAGATGTAGGATCTTTTCTTTCCTCAAAATTAATTGTTTATGAATTTAAAAATTACTTAACTGAAGTCTCACTATGTAGCTGAGGCTGGCATGGACCACTCGGTATGTAGCTGAGGCTGGCCTCACACTTGAGATACTCTTGCCTTAGCCTGCTCAGTGCTGGAATTGCGGGTGTATGCTAGCATGCCTGAACTTGAAACTTTTATTCTGTGCTTTCCATATATTTATTTTTCTTAGTATAAAAATGGCTTAAGGCATAGTTTGTTTTTGTTGATTCTCTCCCTCCACTTGCCTCCCCCAAAGCCCTGTTCCTCCTTCCTGCTGTGCCCCGTTCTTCCTCAGTTCTACCCCTTTCTTCACCCCAGTCACACCTACTCTCTTACCCTCCTTTCCTCCGTTCCTTTAGTTTCTCTCTCTAGCTGCACACTAACCTTAAGACCTCTTTTTTACCTCTCATGATCCCCTATATAGTTTCATGAACTATATCTCCTTACAAACTCTCTCTCTCTCTCTCTCTCTCTCTCTCTCTCTCTCTCTATATATATATATATATATATATATATATATATATATATATATATGTGTGTGTGTGTGTGTGTGTGTGTGTGTGTGTGTGTGTGTGTGTGTGTATGTATCTATCTAATCCAGGCACTTTCCAGGCCTGAGCCAGTGGAGGACAGAGATGATCCCCTCTAGACCGAGGTCTGGGCAGGTCACAATGAACCATGAGCTTCTGGTGCTGCTGGACGGTCAGGCACCATCATACCAATGCCACCTGTGGTTTCTAGGCCAAGGCACACAAGTGAAGAAAAGCAACAGCCTTGTGCCATGACCTGTGGCTGGGGCGGGTAGGACTCAACCAAGTGCCACCAGTGACTCAACCAGGAGCCCTGGTGCTGAGCAGTCTGCGGTGAGTGGGTATGGGGTGGGGAAGTAGAAGGAAGAGAGAGAGGCAGAGCAGTTCATGGACTGGAAAGAGAGGCAGATCTGAAGAGGTGACAGCGGTAAACAGGATGATGTGAATGGCCTGGTAGCCACTCAAGTCCAAGTGATGTCCAATCCTGGGCTGTTTTGGGGGGAGGACAGGGGAGGGGAGGGCAGGTCTTGGTCCTGGTCTGAGGTCCTGAGGCAGCTGGGGGGAACTGTGTTGATGTCTGTGGCTCCTGTTGCCACTAAGGGCCATGTAAAGGCCTGTGGTCTGTGCTGACACCTGGGGACATGTTGACATCTCGGCCTGGACTGCTGCCAAGGACCATGTCTGGGGCCATGGTCCTACCACAGCTGGAGTCTCTGTTGATGTCCCTGGCCCATGTTGCCACCAAAGGCCACAAAGATGCCCAGGGTCTAGGCCACAAATTGTGACATTATTGATGTCTGAGAGCTGTGCCACCACTGAGGCCAAATCAATTTGAGTGGCCAGCACTACCATCTAGGGCCATGGTATTATCCAGGGCAGGGTTGCTACCAAGGACTGTGTCTGGGCCATGGCCCTACTGCAGCCAGGGTCTATGATTTTGCTGAATATATTTTCTGGGCCTTTGAGCAGGGATGCTTCTCCTTCTTCTATTTCTATTATTCTTAGGTTTGGCCTTTTCATGGTGTCCCAGATTTCCTGGATGTTTTGTGATAGGAATTTTTTTAGATTTAATATTTTCTTTGACTGATGAATTTATTTTCTCTATCGTGTCTTTAATGCCTGAGATTCTCTCTTCCATCTCTTGTATTCTATTGGTGATGCTTGCTTCTGTAGTTCCTATTTGCTTACCCAGATTTTCCATTTCCAGAATTCCCTTAGTTTGTGTTTTTTTTTTAATTGCTTCTATTTCTATTTTCAGGTCTTAAACAGTTTTATTTGTTTCTGTCAGTTGCTTGTTTTTTCTTGGTGTTCTTTAAGAGATTTATTGATTTCCTCCAATTTTTTTGTGCTGTGGGATGTCCTGTATGCTGTGAATATATGTTGCTATGATTGATAAAACACTGATGGGCCAGTAACCAAGCTGGAAGGATAGTGTAGGTGGGACAAGGATACAGGAGAAGGCTGGGTGGAAGGAGGCTGAGTCAGGAGACGCCAGCCAGACACAGAGAAAGCGAGATGTAAAATTACCGGTAAGCTACAAGTCACATGGCAACTTATAGATTAATAGAAATGGGTTAATTTAAGATATAAGAACAGATAGCAAGAAGCCTGAGCCATTAGGCCAAACAGTTTAAATGATATAAGTGTCTGTGTGTTTATTTGAGTCTGAGTGGCTGCTGGCCTGGGCGGGGCTGGAGATAACTCCAGCAACATTTTTGCTTGTCTTTTTCTCCATTTCTTTAAGGTATTTTTCATTTCCTCTTTAAGGACCTCTATCATCTTCATAAAGTTATTTTTAGGTCATTTTCTTGTGTTTCAGCTGTGTTGGAATGTTCAGGTCTTGCTGTAGTAGGATAGCTGGGTTCTGGTGGAGACATATTGCCTTTCTGTTTTGATTGTGTTCTTACACTGGTTTTTGGGCATCTGGACTTGGGATGATTATAGTCTAGGTGTTGATTCCTGTCTTTGTCTTTGTTGAGTAGGTGTTCTGTTCCTTGGTTTCTGTTTCCTCTCTGGTCTTCTGGCCGAAGAGGCCAAGGGTTCTGGTGACTTGTAAGTCTTCTGGTCTAGTAGGGTGTCTCTGCTGGGATTTTAAGGGCCTTGGGTCACTCGTTCCTGTCTGGCCTCCGGTAAAGCCGAAGTCTTCTTGAGTCTCTAGATCTGGCCTGGCCTCCAGTAAGGCCCAAGTCTTCTTCTGGGGTACCTAGGACCAGCCTGGCCTCCAGTAGAGCAGCTGGGTCTGTTCTTTTGGATGGTGTAGACTGTATATGGGCCTATGGAATCTGTTCTTAGAGTTCCATTCTGGCTTGTGTGGCCTCTGCCCGTTGCGGCTGGTGTGGTCTGTGCCTCAGTGGTGGAAGCCTGTTGTGATTGGGGTTGGGGACTCAGCAGCAGCAGGGCCAGGGAGCATGATGTTGGCCTAGGGAAGGGTGGCAGTGGACAGAATCCAGGTAGGAGTACAGTTCTGCTGCTAGGTGGGTCACTCACCTCTTCCACCTGGCGTGGCCTGAGCCTGCTTAGCAGAAGTCTTCTGGTGTTGGGAGGAGGGCCCAGCCATGGGGGTTGGGTATTAGATGGGAGGGTGTGGGCTTGAGGACTGGTGGAGGCCAGAACGCAGGTCGGGGTGCAATTCTGCTGGTAGGCGTATCACTCACCAGTTCTGGCTGGTGTGTTCTGTGGCTCAGTGGCAGAAATCTGCTGGGATTTGGGGTGGAGTCCCAGC